TAACTCAATGACCCCAAAAGTTATCTGTAGCTCTGGATGTGTAAGTACACTCACCCCACCAAAAGTTATCTGGAGCCCTGGTTGTATATGGTAGGATGGTGCTAGTATGTTTTTTAAGGACCAATGGAATGTGAAGATCCAGGTTAGAATTGATCTTCAGTCACCCATGTTTGTCATAAGAGGTGACTGGCTGGCTTGTATCCCAATTGTGTAGATCGATGCTCATGCTGTTGATCACTGGATTGTCTGGGGGCTCAGCCTCGATTATTTATAGACCGCTGCCATATAGCTGGAATATTGCCGAGTGCGGCGTTAAACTTAACTCACTCACTCTAAGAAACCAATAAAAATAATAAAATCGATTAAATAGTGGCAGATCGTGTAGACTAGTGTTACTTTGGAGAGGAACATTTCACCTGTTGCAAACAAACAAACCTCTGAAAGTAACCAACAATACCCTGTCCTATATTACTGTCAAACTTGTAGAAATTGAAAGACATAATACCATTTGAAGCCATTCTTCGTCATCAGGAATGTGCCTAGAAAAGACCCAACAGGTCCAGTAACTAAATGAATCCTATGGAACATTGAGGTATTCCAACCAGTGTCACTTCAGGCAGGTTCAAGTTAATTGATCATTGTCAAGAAGATTATTTAAGTAATTTTACAAGGCCAGACCACATCAATACCAATCATTAAGTTTCTAAATTGATACAAAAGTAACCCCTACAGGGCGATGTCATGTTAACATTAATACATCAGCCATAAGATGCTTTATGTCTATAAACGAAAATACTACTTATACACAATCAAGTTTCAAAATGTAACTCAAGCTAGCCATCTATACATGATACATGAAATGTCATCACTACAGATAACATGACGTCATCACCATCATGCCTATAATACACACAAAGGAATCACTAGTAATTATCACAATCCTAGGCCATTTAAATATGATTTTATTACACACTTTCTTTTTTACATCCTGTAACTCTAGACACTTTGAGAAATGACTGAATCACTGAACCAATCCTTGCTACCACTGACAATAGATAAAAGGTATTTGACATACATATTCCCCTTGTTGACGGCAAACTGCTGGTTACATCCTGTTGCTTGTGTTGTAAATATCTAGATACAAGCAAGTCGATCTTGACAACCTCAACTGCCTCCTACATGATTGTCCAATGATAAGTTGATAACCCACCCACCGATCTAAGAGAACTGCAGTCTTCCTGTCTGGTCACACATGCCCTATCTGAGACAACTTCAGTGATCCCATCTTGACAACCCATGTGATAACACATCCATCAGTGATATGCGTCAACAGTATATCGAACCCCTATAGTTGTCTTGCTTGAAGTACCATATGTATTCACATACTGAGTGAGACAGAGAGAAGTATAGTTTTCTCATCTTGGTACCTCATGTGAGAACATATTCTATAGCTGAGACAACCATAGTCTTGTAGTCTTTGTACCTCTTGTGATAACGTATCATAGATGAGAAAACTGTAGTCTTCTCATCTTGTTACCTCATGTGATAACATATCGTTTATCTAAGATTGCAGTAGGCTTCCTGTCTGGTACCCCATGTAGAAACTGTAACACATTATCCGTCACAAACGTTAGTATGGTAGTCAAGAATTTACTTCGACCTGCACAGAGGCCAATATTCAGTCCGAAGTCTGAAGCAAATGATAATACATTCCTCAGAATTTATAAAAATAAGTATATTAAAATAATCAAATTTTAAAGCTTAAGCCACATAAACTGATCAATCTGTCCTCAGAAATGCTGCTTTTAGGCCTGTTTATTTAGGTACTTATCACCAGGCATTATGTCATCTGAAATACAACACCTAGGACTTGGCAATTCCAACATCTAATGACATAGACTGACAAATTTCTCAAAGAATAATACACCATGCATTTTGCTGATGTCTGGAATATCAGAGAAGAGATATGTAACAGTAGGCTGATGTTCTTGTCTTCAGAATAGGTTCATTCTGTATATTGATGTAAATACCCAAACACAGCAGAGAGTAGCAAACCTACTGACTTCAAAGATACCATCATGGGCCATACATGCCATGTTCACAGGATGAAATACCACACTGGACTTAGGACCAGTTACAGCATGATATTTGGAGTTGATTCAGTGGGCCAGTCAAGTGTGGGCAAACAGTGATACACGAATGGTAGACCACCTGTCACCTTTACCATTTCTTTCATGACAGATACAAACTGATAAGTGCTACAACAAATTATCTTCTTGGTGGCAACCAGATTCCAATGACGACAATCCCTCCCTCCCATCGCCTACAGATTTGTGCCCACTGGTGTCACCGTTTAGGAGCAACATGGACCAGCCCTGTAACATGGGTTGGGGTTAACAGCCCTCTTTAAAACAAATACACCTTCTATCATCAACATCCAGCAATATTTGTTCTAGGAATGCTAGTATTTGCTATCTGAGGCAGTGAGGAAATTCACGTTGAACTTCTTAATGAAGGTGTAGACGTGCAGATATCTGGGTTTCCCTGACCACATGACACGCACACTGATACAGTAACGTTACAAGCTGAGGTAAACTCGCGGCACCACAGCACGTCTTCTTTGGTCTACTGACTGCTTTATCCATCGGCCCCTAATACAGACATTGAGATACCTGAACATAACACAATTAAGCACTTTAAGTACCACTTCGTATCTGTAATTAGGTTGGTTCAATAGGACAGATTTCTAAAGTTAGTTCATTTCATAAGTTCTCATGTCCCTGTGATGTTAAGTTGTTAAGAAACAGTAAAACATTCCCGCACCACCTTATCCTTACAAAGGTGAAGAAACCACTGAGGTATATGACAAAAGTCTTACTAATAAGGCTAGACTGATTCATATGTTTGGGTTTCTCTGATGCAAGAAAAGTTTGTCAGAAAAATATTTTACTGGAGAAACGGAATGTTCTAGAAAAATTAAATTGCCGATTCTTCAATGTGTAAATATACACAGGAATACAGACCAAGGACACGCAACTTTGTATGAACATCAGAGACTGCTGAGCTGAATGCATTCTGTTACACCTTGTCTGTCTAAGGCACATGCCTCATTCCTCAAAAGAACACAACAAAGCTGCCACTTTCATTTTACTTTTCCTAAAGCCAAAACTGTCAGTTTAACTGCATCTTTCACTGAACATATACACAGGCCTTTTAGTAGAATAATCTTTGTACAAATAAGTTTCTAAATGTTAACTATTTAAATGTAGTATCTACATTCATTTATGTTCAAAAGTCTTTTCAAATAACTTTCTGGTTTATCTTAAACATGTTAAAATTGACCCTTTGACTATTACTTTGATGCACTGTTTAAAAAAGAAATGTACTAAGTCAATTTAATTTTTAAAGGGCTTAGATTATTTGCACACAACATTCAGACCCAGAGAGTTTTGAAAACCATACTTATCATAAGAAAAAAGCCCAGTATAATATATATTAAGCTCCTCACCTATGAGAAGGTAAAAAGAACTCATAACATTCAACTCAGATTTAAAAAAATATTACTTGCATCTGCTTCAGCACTGTAGGCAACAGAATTCCCGCTCAACTGTGGTTCCTTGCTAGTAACTGAGACTGCAAAGGCTTACACCATCAGGGTATGACGACCAAATCACAGATGTAGGTTAGTGCATCGTGGGCATAAATTTCAACTTTATTTCATTAATATTATTTATGTAGGATATTATCGATGGCACAGTGTTCATATCAATAATAATTAACACCTTTTTCCATTGATGATATTTCCAGTTATCAATCTTTTTAGCCAGCCCTAATTATAATCCACCCATAGCACTAATATAAAGGAAAAACAATTGACATAAACCATAATTGTCTGTGACAGTCCTTACACTTCGATGGCATAAAAAGTTACTGTGATAATTGTAAGATTAAAAAACTGATATCTGTTTTCTGATTTGCACACTTAGCAATTAATTGCATGGAGAATCAACTTTCAGTGATGTGTATGACCTCTAATGTTAATGCCATTTAAAATGACTCAACACTTTTCAAACATGTGATGTCAAAAGTAAACGGAATCAAAGTTAATCAAAGAATGTACTCTCTTGAACACGAATTGTTTACATGGGTTGAAAACAATGATATGCTTTAAAAAGAATGAGTACATACAATTTGATTGAATTTGTTTTTCTGCTTATTTGACACTCATGTAGAAATGAGAACTATAGTATTTGAATAGTGGGTCATATGTGGGTGTGTGCATGTTAACTAGCTACAACTGTTTAATCTACAGTTGTTTTTAGATACAATGCATTTGAACCCAACCCAAACTACACAGTGCAACTGACACTGGGCTTTATGTGATCTAGGATTCTACACAGAGCAGGTACACCAAGAAAAGAAACAAATATTATTTTAAAAGCTGGGATTCATTTTTTCAAAAGAATAGTACCCTGATGTTACGTCCTCGGAAAGAATGCGACAGTAAACTTTACAAATCCAGAGCCTGCTCATTGGTCCTGTTATGAGTGACAAACAATTAAGTCACCTCAACTGAGACATCACATTATTTTTATCTATATATTGAGACATTTTATTACTCAAAATTGGGAAGTTTGACTGACAGCTGACTTATCCCGACTTGTGGTCGAAGGCCTCTTAACATGTCTGAAAAATTCCTTTGATCACTGTTGACATTATTATTTAGTAACTAACTTCACAAAATCCCATACTTTATCTACTTATCACAATCAATGACATCATTCGTCTTGAAAAATGAACTGCCACAGATTCTACAGAGAGATCTTAAATTGATTCGGTTTTGACAGATACATGACAACAGACAACTGTCAACACGTCGCCGGTTGCAGACGATGTTTGTGTCGGAGCAGCCCCAGATGCATCACGTGCTGATAACGAGGTTCCTACAGTGTCATTTGGCTGTCTTTCACTGACAGATGCGAGAGAACGTTTCCACCTACCTCAGTTTCCAGCCACCACGTTCGCGGTCTTCCCTTGTTGACAATTTTACAATTTGTGTTACGAAGGCGTTCTGATAAACACGAGTACCCGATTGCCGGAAGTGACACGTGTCACCGTCTTGAAATCAAGCCGCGATATAAAATAGTTCCCGCGAACATGAATGAGGACTATTCAAACTGTAGAGCACAATGTATTTGACTCACATTGTTTCTATATATACGGTCGATTATTCTAACACACAGGACGTGCTTACATTACATATGTCGTAATCAGCGCATGAATATAACATCAGGACATTCGGCCCGAATAAGCTACAGTGCGAGGGGAACAAAGGGGCATAACTTAGGTTTGTGAAAACAGACAACCGATCCTCAGGTGAAACAGCCAGCCAGAGGGTGTGTCATGTTCACGAAACGGGCGTAATAAATTAAGGCATCAGCTTGTTTTAGTACGTATGTGTTTTGTTTCATGGAATCCAATGAACTTACTATGGAATGAAATCTAATGAACTTCCTTTGCATGTCCGTGGAATTCTTTTGAACATCCTAATTTTTGAGAAACTAATTAATAGTTTGACTGAAAAGTACAACATGATAATTATGCAAAAGAAAATGACAATCGGGAGTTTCGTATTTTTATTCTATCACAAAAGAAAACAGAATGAATAGTTCTTAGTGATTATTGCAACAAAATGAAATTCAACTGATATATGTTTTAGGCATTTCGCACTGACAACAAATCTAAAGGTTGTCTGATAATGTAATACTTGTCTCACACAGACATGAGCTTTCTCGGGCATTCTGAAGTAAGAACTCCTGCAGTGTTGCGAAAGCTACCTGTGATATCCGATACAGATTAAGCAGAGCGAAGCTTCCTGGTTCGTTCGCCCCCTACACCCTGTGCACTATATTCCGGTTCTTGGGAACGTTTCACTGCTATCAAGAAGCTGGTTGAATATAGTGTGGCGTATAAAAAGAACAAATCCTAAAGAGGGATGGCTGGTGTGTTGTTGTTGCTATTATTTACAAAGTGAGTGAGTTAGCGAGTGTGGTTTTACGCTGTTTTTAGCAATATTCCAGCAACATCACGGCGGGGTTGGGGACCACCAGAAATGGGCTTCACACATTGTACCCATGTGGGGAATCGAACCCGGGTCTTCGGCGTGACGAGCGAACGCTTTAACCACTAGGCTACCCCACCGCCCCTTATTTATAAAGTACATGCTCTGATGAGACGTAGCAGAATAATTATGTTATGGGTTCAATAGACGGTCGGTTCAATCTGTGAAATGAAACAAAGGTTATATATTTATACGTGTGTCAAGAAATAACAAAACCCCAGCGCCTTGAGCATGTACTAGTTGCGTGGATATGTGCGCTATATATATATATATCCTATATTAAAAATAATAAATATTTAAAGCGTTCGGATACGCCCCATGTCGCATCAACTACACAATCAAGTTGTTAACAGACACAATAACTCTTCAGAAATAATTGTACTGCTTGTTCATTGTTTGTCTACGTAAATATATGTTGGTATACTAACCATCATAAATGCTAAATGCTATCCAGTTGCATGCTCGGCGCGTCAACTTGATGTTGGAGGAAGGCAAAAAGTCATACATGTACACCTTTTTTAAAACCTGTTCCAGGAGTTTCAGGCGTATGTTTATACAGTCCAAGGTCTCCTGATGATCAAATAGTAGGCACTTTCACTTATAGAAACCCAGCACTGCCGCGGCAGCATAAGTCATGTGTTAGAGTCGGTGTTACAAGGCAACATAAGTCATGTGTTAGAGTCGGTGTTACACAGCAGAATAAGTCACGTATTAGAGTCAGTGTTACACAGCAGAATAAGTCATGTGTTAGAGTCAGTGTTACACAGCAGAATAAGTCATGTGTTAGAGTCGGTGTTACACAGCAGAATAAGTCACAGTTTAGAGTCGGTGTTACTACAGCAGAATAAGTCATGTGTTAGAGTCGGTGTTACACAGCAGAATAAGTCATGTGTTAGAGTCGGTGTTGCACAGCAGAATAAGTCACGGTTTAGAGTCGGTGTTGCACAGCAGAATAAGACACGGTTTAGAGTCAGTGTTACACAGCAGAATAAGTCACGGTTTAGAGTCGGTGTTACACAGCAGAATATGTCACGCATTAGAGTCAGTGTTACACAGCAGAATAAGTCACGTATTAGAGTCAGTGTTACACAGCAGAATAAGTCACGTATTAGAGTCAGTGTTGCACAGCAGAATAAGTCACGTATTAGAGTCAGTGTTACACAGCAGAATAAGTCACGTATTAGAGTCAGTGTTACACAGCAGAATAAGTCATGTGTTAGAGTCGGTGTTACACAGCAGAATAAGTCACGGTTTAGAGTCGGTGTTACACAGCAGAATATGTCACGCATTAGAGTCAGTGTTACACAGCAGAATAAGTCACGTCATATCCTGTATGCAATACACCGAGTGAAATATACCCACCAGTGTAACATTACCCAATCAATCACCCCTAGAGATGGAGTGACACAGGCAGGTAGACAAATACATTGGTGCAGGGCGAAATGCAGACCAGGAAGTGACATACGTCCTACCAGGAAGCAGAGCCGTACATACCTGTTAGTGCGCTTTTCTTATACGGGCATATAATGAGACGTGATTAAACATTCAGTGTTGGTGGAACTGGGAACTCGAGCATACAATACTTGTAAAGTAATATTGGAGTTTAGTAAATGTAGTACGTCAAGTGCAGCGCCAGGCAGAAACTACTTCCCTTTTAGACAGATTATGTGAGTAGCGGCTACTACCGATATGGCAGGGCATGCTTACCCGTGAACACCTGGTGTCATCTATGATTTTCAGTGATACGTTCCTATAATTTTCACAACTATATTTTCCTTTACACCAAACAGAATTTGGTTATGAAGATAGTCAAGACTGCGTAATCTTTAGGGCTGACGTTCTATATTTTAGTACAGTGTCCGATATGTTACACCATGTGGTATACAATAGTGTATTAATTACTGTGTAATGAAGTTTACTATTGTGTATTATACAAGTGATTATGTAGTGAACATTTACGTGTAGTACAGTGTCCGATATGTTACCCCATGTGGTATACAATAGTGTATTAATTACTGTGTAATCAAGTTTACTATTGTGTATTATACAGGTGATTATGTAGTAAACATTTACGTGTAGTACAGTGTCCGATATGTTTACACCATGTGGTATACAATAGTGTATAAATTACTGTGTAATGTAGTTTACTATTGTGTATTATACAGGTGATTATGTAGTAAACATTTACGTGTAGTACAGTGTCCGATATGTTACACCATGTGGTATAGTGTATAAAATACTGTGTACTGTAGTTTACTATTGTGTATTATACAGGTGATTATGTAGTAAACATTTACGTGTAGTACAGTGTCCGATATGTTACACCATGTGGTATAGTGTATAAATTACTGTGTAATGTAGTTTACTATTGTGTATTATACAGGTGATTATGTAGTAAACATTTACGTGTAGTACAGTGTCCGATATGTTACACCATGTGGTATACAATAGTGTATTAATTACTGTGTAATGTAGTTTACTATTGTGTATTATACAGGTGATTATGTAGTAAACATTTACGTGTAGTACAGTGTCCGATATGTTTACACCATGTGGTATAGTGTATAAATTACTGTGTAATGTGGTTTACTTTTGTGTATTATACAGGTGATTATGTAGTAAACATTTACGTGTAGTACAGTGTCCGATATGTTACACCATGTGGTATAGTGTATAAAATACTGTGTAATGTAGTTTACTATTGTGTATTATACAGGTGATTATGTAGTAAACATTTACGTGTACGTACAGTGTCCGATATGTTACACCATGTGGTACAGTGTATAAATTACTGTGTAATGTAGTTTACTATTGTGTATTATACAGGTGATTATGTAGTAAACATTTACGTGTAGTACAGTGTCCGATATGTTACACCATGTGGTATAGTGTATAAATTACTGTGTAATGTGGTTTACTATTGTGTATTATACAGGTGATTATGTAGTAAACATTTACGTGTAGTACAGTGTCCGATATGTTACACCATGTGGTATACAATAGTGTATAAATTACTGTGTAATGTAGTTTACTATTGTGTATTATACAAGTGATTATGTAGTAAACATTTACGTGTAGTACAGTGTCCGATATGTTACACCATGTGGTATAGTGTATAAATTACTGTGTAATGTAGTTTACTATTGTGTATTATACAGGTGATTATGTAGTAAACATTTACGTGTAGTACAGTGTCCGATATGTTACACCATGTGGTATACAATAGTGTATAAATTACTGTGTAATGTAGTTTACTATTGTGTATTATACAAGTGATTATGTAGTAAACATTTACGTGTAGTACAGTGTCCGATATGTTACACCATGTGGTATAGTGTATAAATTACTGTGTGATGTAGTTTACTATTGTGTATTATACAGGTGATTATGTAGTAAACATTTACGTGTAGTACAGTGTCCGATATGTTTACACCATGTGGTATACAATAGTGTATTAATTACTGTGTAATGTAGTTTACTATTGTGTATTATACAGGTGATTATGTAGTAAACATTTACGTGTAGTACAGTGTCCGATATGTTACACCATGTGGTATACAATAGTGTATAAAATACTGTGTAATGTAGTTTACTATTGTGTATTATACAGGTGATTATGTAGTAAACATTTACGTGTAGTACAGTGTCCGATATGTTACCCCATGTGGTATACAATAGTGTATAAATTACTGTGTAATGTAGTTTACTATTGTGTATTATACAGGTGATTATGTAGTAAACATTTACGTGTAGTACAGTGTCCGATATGTTACACCATGTGGTATACAATAGTGTATAAATTACTGTGTAATGTAGTTTACTATTGTGTGTATTATACAGGTAATTATGTAGTAAACATTTACGTGTAGTACAGCGTATCGTGCGTCAGGCTTTAGGGGATAATACGGTGTATAAAGAGTGAGTGAGTTTAGTTTTACGCCGCACTCAGCAATATCCCAGCTATATAGCGGCGGTCTGTAAATAATCGGGTCTGGACCAG